CAGAGAAGTTAACATGATTTTCCAGGGATTACTGTTCTAAGCAGCAATATCTATATTTAGAGCTGAGTTTTCTGACTCTAGACCCATTCTCCTTTTTTAATGTCTTGCTGCCTCCAACTAAGTATGTAAACCATTACATGAGGGACAAACTTTCAAAACAACAAACATTTTGCTGGTTTTTAAAAAGCTCTTAGCAGTTGCATAGAACACCAAAAGTCTGGCAACCTCGATATAAGAGCAGATCGATGCAGGGCCAGAGCATTTCATAACTAAAATCCCTAGTGTGTTCACTCCTGAACTTGACCTTACTAGTCGTTAAGCTTCTCAGTTGATTTGTTCAATTTAGACCATGTAATTATTTGGGGAACCATAAATCCTTGGACACCAAGTAAATGCCCATCACCTAGATTCTACAATTAACATTCTAGTATACTTGCTTTGTCTGTCTGTCCATCCCTCTAGCCAACCAGCAATCCATATTATTTTTCTGAAGCTGCAGATATCAGTAAATTTTATACCTAAATAATTTGGCATGCATATCATTAATTATCAATAATTGCTGATGGCTCTTATTTTTTAAGTAAAACTTGCATATAATCAACTATACAGATATTAAGCGTACCATTCAGTAAGTTTTGCCAAATTTATACACCCATGTAACTCAAACCTCTGTCTAGATATGGAATATTACCCTCGCCTCAGAAAGCTCCTTCTCTGCATGCTCCTTCCCAAATCCCCTCCTCACCATTATTCTACTATTTATCACTAACAGTTAGTTTTATCTCTTCTAGAACTTCATATAAACGTGTTCATGTGTTTGTGATTCATTCATGTTGCTTTGTGTATCAAGAGTTTACTCCTTTGAATTGTTGAGCATCACTCTACTGTAAGAATATAACTAGTTTCTTTATTCACTGTCCTCTTGACAGACACATGGGTTATTTGCAGTTTTTAGGTATCCTAAATAAAACTACTATGAACAGTCTTATAGAGATCTTTTTGTGAATATGTTTTCATTTCTTTTGTTAAATACCTAGAAATGGATTGCCAGGTCACAAGTAGGTATATGTTTAGTTTCATAAGAAAATTCCTTAACTCTTTTTGAAGAAATTGTACTGTTTTAACTCACATCAACAATGTCTGGAGAGTCCCTGTTGCTTCACATGATCAGCAACGTTCGGCATTTTCAGGCTTTTTTAATTTTAGCCACTCAGGTGGGTGTGTATCATATTACTTTTTTAGTTATCAAATAAGAATATTCACAGAGTATATCCACACTTCCATTATCAAGGGACATCTCAGGCAAAATCTGTATCTAAATCCCCCTATTACTATACCAGTTCAGGATTCTTAAGTCATATGATTATGACATTAAATCTTGATTCTCATCCTTCAGGAGTTGATGGAAAGATTCATTATTTAACCTCAATTGGAGCTCCAAGTCACTATCATTGAAGTTAATTTTTAGGATGTTCGCCCATTAAAACTAGGACTTTCTATTAATCAAAATTATCAGGTTGGCTCTTGATTTATGCTCAATAGAAAAATAAATAAATAAGCACAGCCTAGTCACAAACCTGTAAAATGTCTTTGGCTAAATTAAATGGACACCACCACAAAGGTGACTCTCTTAGACTTAAACTTGATATTAATAAGAGTGAATCCATGTAGACTAAGCTTAAGTAATAATACGTGGTAAAGTTACTTCCACATTAAGTTGCTTCCAGTTGCTGGAGGAAAAGTCATAGGCCTAATTCTGTCTTAATGTAAGTTATTCCTTTGGTCTTCTAATTTATCCTTAGAAAGTGTCAAGCTTTCACATTGCTGTTTTCTTGGCTTTTCCTGCATTTTCTCTGTTATAGCTTCATTGTTCATTTATTATGAAAATAACCTACATGATCTTTTTTTTTTAATGTTTATTTTTGAGAGACAGAGACAGAGTGTGAGCAGGGGAGGGGCAGAGAGAGAGAGAAAGACACAGAATCTGAAGAGGCTCTAGGCTCTGAGCTGTCAGCACAGAGCCCGATGCGGGGCTCGAACTCACAAGCCATGAGATCATGACCTGAGCCGAAGTCGGACGCTTAACCGACTGAGCCACCCAGGCGCTCCCACCTACATGATCTTAATGCTTATCAAAATGTATTTCAGTCCACTGCTTATAACATTAGACATATTATAACTCATTTGACATTTTGTCTTTAATGAACTTTTAATAATCAGCAGCAGTAATGCAGCTTAGAGCCCTGAAGCAGGAAGAACAAATTGTACAAATCTTGAAGCTAATGGAACTGGTCAAGGCATCTCATTAAACACCAACATAAACAATATAGTAACTTTTCCACTTCTCTTTAACTAGTTCCTTTCTTTCTTTGACTTTAATTTTCCAAGATATTAAAGGATACTCTGCAAGTATATGTATGAATTTTTGAACCAGAAAATTTATAGTGCAACCTTAGCATCAATTACTCATTGTTAGGCACATTATATTTCTGGTGGCACCCATTCAGTTCTTCCCTGCACCATCTAGGATGGGCAAAATGGTTCCACAGTTTTGAGAATCCCCGTTGGTTACGGAGGCTTTAGGGAGATGGCATCTGCAGAAACGTTATGAATTAGGCATTTTAATCTCTGTCCTGACTTGCCTTTTTCAGGAGCACTAAATAGACTACTTTATTGCTCACCATCTACCTGTAAGATAATAAAACATACTGGTTCTTGGGGCGTCTGGGCGGCTCAGTTGGTTAAGTGTCCCACTTCGGCTCAGGTCATGATCTCCCGGTTCGTGAGTTTGAGCCCCACGTTGGGCTCTGGGCTGACAGCTCCGAGCCTGGAGCTGCTTCAGATTCTGTGTCTACCCTCTGTCTCTGTCCCTCCCCCCCTTATGCTCTGCCTCTCTCTCAAAAATTAATAATAAAACATTTAAAAAACATTAAAACATACTGGTTAAGATATGTTAATATGATAATCCTTTGTTTAAGTTACATCAAATGTCACCTATATATGAGTTTGCGTATTTTTGGAACTAAGTACTAGGCACACGTTTTGTACTTCTGAAAATAAGGATATTCCATGGCTTGAAATGATGTTACAATGACTAATTGTCCCACACATCAAATGTGCGATAAATACTACAGATTTATTATAAGTTCCTTTTGTTTTAATCTGCGTATGTGACACGAGGGCCAACGCTATACACAGGTGAAAACAGGCAGCTATTTTGGGATGATGAAGGAGCACAGAAAAGACCTCCCTGCCTTCACATATTTTTCCTCTAGGCTGCCTTAGGGATAAGACACTACCTTCAGATTTTTCTGTCAAAATCAACATCTTAGGGTAATACACCAGAATTGTTCTTTACTATATGAACCATTAATGCCCATTATTCCTCCAGAATCTAATAGAACCATGAAGGGATGGAACACAGAGACAGTTTGAAAGGCTGCAGATGATATAACGTGTGGTTGGGGGCAGGGAGAGCGGTAGTGGGGAAGAACCCCAGGTAGCCCGGGGCAGCTGAAGGGTGAAAGCTCCGGAAGAAAATCTGGGACTTTCACAAAAGATACACTTGTTTCCAGTGTTGGCCTGGGGCTAGACCCATGAGACCCAAATGAGAAACCAGCATAGTCCTTTATTTTCTGGAGAAAGCCGAATTTTGCATGTGAGCTCTTCTGAGGCACTTGGCTGTGGCGTAGGAAAGACAGAATAACTTTGCCGGCCTCAGTACTACTGAGGCAAAACCCTGGTGCATTTCCCCGTGTTACATAAGCCATATAGTTAGATAAACGCTGGTTCATCTACTAAATAAGTACTGAAAATTAAAACTGATTATCCTTGTCAAGTGCTGTGTAAATACAAACTCTTTTTACTGTGAGTCCAGAACTTAAATAAAAAATCAAGCCATCATTCTTTTTCTGATAATTGCCCCTAACATTTTGCCAGTGACCACTTTATAAAGGAATCAAATCCAAATGCTGCATTATTTAATCAGATTTCACTGCGTTTTAAATGAACAGGGATAGAAGGTGACACTTTAGGACATGTGACAGAGCTCATGTCTAGGCTCCTTCTATTTCTAATGTATCTCTAAACTTTATCCCTTTTATTTAAATTGCTTTATTCAACACATGAAATTGTAACAGCATATAAAGGGTTTTTCTGACAATGAACTGTTCCCTAAATAAAAAAATAAAAGTGATCCCTCCATGTTTTATCATATTCCCATTTATACATTTTATCATAGGCAACAGAGAAAGGTTCAAGGACTTTAGAATACATTTTACAGCATAAGTTCAGTAATTATTTAGCTTTAGATTGTTAAGCATATATTTGAATTGTATTACTTTTCCTTTTCATAAAATGTTTCTGTTTTCACTAAAATCAGTTGGCCTTTTGTAAATTAACCATAGCAAACAATAAAGGAATATTCTTCAGACTGAGACAAAAGACCTTGATAAAAATAACTGATATCTCAGCTCTCTAATCATATTATTCTAGAGCCTTAATATTAAAGAGCTCTCATCATGGGCAATTGAATAGCTCTCCATTAGTTTCTCTAAAAATAAGAGTTTTTAATCTCTTCTTGCAGGCTAGAAGAGTCTTATGATTTAAATATATTTTGGAAATCTGTTTCAACAGTTAAATCAAAAATGTCTGATATTTTCAATTACTTAAAACATTTATGATTTTAAGCTCCCAGCAGAAATCTGCTGCTGAAGGGGAAAAAAAATTAAGAGCTGTTAGTCAGAAAGACGCTTATGTAAGAACTGTGACATTGGTCATTGCTTTGAAAGCAGGAAGTCCTATATTTTAGACTCAAGGCTTTAAGGAATCTTTATTGAGCATCCCTCCCCCCCGCCCCCCCGAGCTGAGACAAATGGCTGATGAGTGAAATCTTGAGAAATGCTCACAGCTTTTCTCCTTCATTCTGTTACAGCCCGGAAGATGGTGAGATCCATCCAGAAATCTGTCGGCTTTATATCCAGCTGCAGTGTTGCTTAGAAATGTACACAACAGAGATGCTCAAATCCATTTGTCTGCTGGGGTCTCTTCAGTTTCATCGAAAAGGTATCTGCATTTAGTGTACTGCCATAAACACTGAGGAATGTTAAACAAAAGCTAATCTTTCCCAAAGCCCTAAATGCACCCCATGGCTATCTACACACAATTAGAATGGATGTAAATGTTCAGGGAATGTTTGATATAAATTAATGAAAGAACTCTAGACCAATACTAAGTGCATAAGAACACTGATCATCTTCAACAGAAATTGTGGTAGAAACTGTTCTCAAATGTATCATTTTACCACTTGTGAAAATGACTTTGGTTACAATCAGCGTGGGGAGTAAAAATATATAACAATCTTACTAGGGGTAAATGCCATCCAAGACTGCTGCTATTTCCCTAAATGAATTTGGCTGCAAGAAGACAAATTACATATTATGTCTCAAAGATTTAAAAATAGGGGGAACTCAACCAACAATAGGGAGGCAGATGAGTAACAGAAAAATCTCATTCCTGGACTTAAATCATAAAGGAATATATTGGCTAAAAGGCCTGAAACTTCCAGAGGTGCCCATGACTTGAGCGTGGTTTGATCAGACTTTTGACTCACATTCTGAATGATCCTCTCTGCCTTCTCCTGGGGGTTGGCTTTACCCTCACACTGCTTTCCCTGACATCAACGAACTGATTCCAATGGGTCCAGTCATCACACCTGCATACTAAAGGATCCATAAAGAGACTTTTCCCCCACTATAGACTAGAAAATGTCCTGAGCTTCTTTCTGATTGGGTCAGATTGGACCATGGGTCTATAACTGAACCAATCACTGTGGCCAGAGGAATGGTTTTATACAGATTGATTCAGCAATCAAGGCCCATTCCTGGGGAGGAAATCAAAAGTTTCTATTAGTTTCTAATTAGGAGGATTCCAGCTATATTTTCTTTACTCATTCAGTGAACAAATAATTTATTGGAAATCTCTTAAAGGCAAACACTGTATGCTTGAGCTCAAAAGAACAGGATGATGTGAAGAAGGCAATCCTTGTCTGTGATTTAAATTCAGAGAGAGTAAACCCTGTAATTTCAGGGAAAATTTTATAAGAAGGATGGGGCTTGAGCTGGGCTGTGAAGATAGGGTTCAAGTAAAGAAGGAAAAAGAAGGACCTTGCAGTTCACATAGAGACTTGACATCAAACGAGCGTGCAGTTTGGGGGGAACTAAATGGCATAACAAAGTCCTTGTAAAAATCAAATCTTGCGGGGCGCCTGGGTGGCGCAGTCGGTTAAGCGTCCGACTTCAGCCAGGTCACGATCTCGCGGTCCGTGAGTTCGAGCCCCGCGTCAGGCTCTGGGCTGATGGCTCAGAGCCTGGAGCCTGTTTCCGATTCTGTGTCTCCCTCTCTCTCTGACCCTCCCCCGTTCATGCTCTGTCTCTCTCTGTCCCAAAAATAAATAAACGTTGAAAAAAAAAATTTAAAAAAAAAAAATCAAATCTTGCATACGTGCTACGTATGCACAGGGCAGAACTAAAAATAGGATCATTCTACACTGCTCCAGAGAAGGGAGAACATTTTTTTGAAACATGAATATTACTTTTTTTCCCTCCTTTCTCCTTCTAAAAGCTGACCTTTCAACAATTTCCTTCACTACTTCTGTTATTCATGCAACTGAACATGTTTGGAGAGATTAGCTCCTAGACGCTCCTAGACGCTCCTGATACCTGATCAGAAAACTGATCACTCACACACACTGATGACATTCAAACAAGTTGTCACTGGCCCAATGTCTTCACTCATCCTGTCTACTCGCTCACTCGCTCATGCTGTCTCTTTCACACACACACAAACACACACACACACGCATGCACGCACACGTGTGTGCACTCATGCGTGCGCATGCATGCATCTTACATGAACTCACATGCAGAGTAGCATTTTCATTCTTTTTAAACGTGGTTGAACAGAACAGGTATGGGTCGCTTTTTTCTGGGCTCTGCATTGGCTACTCTTGCAGTATTTTATGTCATGAGCGTGTTACCACTGCAATCTCCCTGGTTGATGACATGTCCTTAACACTCAGGGACCTCCAACCCCACTCTCGTCCTAACCCCTGTGTGTCACCTGGTCTCCTGCCATCCACTCCTACTCTGTCTTTTCACAACCGGCTTTTGAAAGAAAGGCTCTTCTCAGCTAGCTCTCTGTTTAAAAGTAAAAGGGACTCCCTCATCCAGGTTGTTTCCTTATTGTATTTGGAAATACTGTATTGTCTTGAGCACACAAGTAAAAACACATGGCCTCTTAGCTGATCAGCTCATTTGGTCTTCAGTACCTCCTGTCTTCATTGTCAGTCTCTGACCTGCTCCCTTCCCTGCTTCTTATTCTAAAAATAATAACCCCCTGCTCTCACACCTAGCCTTCCATGTACAACACTAAAAAGAATCTGCCTGATAGGGTCTTTGATTTCTCCCACATATAGGATTAAGACTCCACTTGGACATCTATTTTATGCCTCTAAAATCATTATTATTTAAAGTGTAAATCCTTAGACAAACTGGTTCAAAATTATCCAGGATGCCGACTAACGTTGCAGGCTCATGGATCCTACCCCAGACCTACTGCATCAGAATCTCTGGGGGCCCCCCAGGTGATTCCGAAACACCGTGAAGATTGGAAGGTGTCACTCTACCCTTTGAAACAAAAGGAAATCACCCCACTATATGAGCAAAAACTAAACTTCCAGATCCTTACCTTGCCATTCTCTATCCACCCAAGCATATTCTTTCAACTTTCTTCTATGCTTTCTTCTTTATCATCCACACTGATGAAAACCAAATACGAAAGCAGTAGGTACCTCTGATGAGCAAGGGCTGTGTGTGATGGCTCGTGCTGTCTCCGCAAGCCCTTGACACGACCATTGAAATCAAGCTGTGGTTTTCAAAGTGTAGTATCCACACTAGGAGTACCAGCATCACTCGTTAGAAACGCAGATTCTTGGGCCCCAACCTAGATCTATGGTATCGAAAGCTCCCCAAAATTTACTTTCTTCCTGCTTGAAGAAAATTAAAAGAACAATTCATCGAGACATTTCTCCAACTGAATCTATTTGTAACCTTCTGTAACCTTCTGTAATCACCGTCTGGAATCAGCAAACCATCCTTCTACCCCTGGCAAGCCTCCTGTGTTTCCAGGAAACACGTCCAAGAGCTAATTGTCTCATGTACTGTTACCTCTGTCTAAGCACCAGTAGAGGTAAGGCAATGAAGACAAAGAGATTTTCTTAGTGAGAAATCTTTAAACTAGGAGTAAAGAAAACTATCTTATTTAAAGTTAAAAAAAAAAAAAAAAAAAAAAAAAAACCTGGGGCACCTGAGTGGCTCAGTCAAGTTAACTGTCTGACTTTGACTCAGGTCATGATCTCAGGTTGGTGAGTTGGAGCTCCGCATCGGGCTCACTGCTGCCAACACTGAGCCCCCTTCAGATCCTCTGTTCCCCTCTCTCTGCCCCTCCCCCCCCACCACTCTCACCCCACCCTATCACCCCTCACCTCCCTGCCTGTGCATGTGCTCACTCTATCTCTCAAAAATAAATAAACCTTAAAAAAAATAATTAATAAACTTGAAAAACTACGTGGAAAATGGAAATAAGTAACTAGAAGTAGGCACCAAGGAAAATATCATTAAACCAGAGAAAATAAAGCACTAGAAAACATGTATGAAAATACATACTTGACAAATATCCTGAAAATTTCTGGAGTGCCAAATAAAATACTAGCTCTTAGAAAAGGGATGGTTCCATTAGAGAAATAATTCCTAATTTTTCTAGCCCTATATTTGTATTACACTTCTCTATTTCTTTATTCTCTCCGTTAATTTCCTCATTACACCTAGGAGATTAACCCTATAATGATTGCTTTCGACTCCTGGCTTCTTTCTGTTCACTAATTTATATTCCCACCATCAGAATGGCATAGAAAATGTCAGTTCATGTCATTAGTTTTTCTTCTTTCTTTCTTTGGTATCATTGGAAACTGGAGAGTAACCTGTGTCCAAGAGCCTCCAGCTAGTAAACAATAAATATATGAAATGTGCTGCCAACAATCTGGAAGGCCATGACGAAAGAGAATAGAAATACTTGACTCCAGTGACCATGGACTGCCAGAAATGACTGGAAGAAATATGTCTAGGGGAGCCTCATTGACTCAGCCCATAAAGCATGCAGCTCTCAATCTTGGGGTTGAAAATTCAAGCCCCAAATTGGGTGTTGGGATTACTTAAAAGTAAAATCTTAAAAACAAAAGGAAGAAATATGTCCACAGACCACAGCACAGGAGTACTCTTACTCAAGTAAGAGTTGGGCAAATTAAGAGATGTAACATGCATCTTGTCCTGGAAACGTACAGCCCCTTCTCATAAAAGTAGACAGAGGGGAGTCAGCAAGCCTAAGCGGCCTTACTGCATGAGAACAAGAAATGGGGAAGGGATGGGGAAGAAGGCTCTGCCAATGTGACTAAGTCCCCTTTCCCCAATCTGTCTACCAAGATTGAAGATGCCAGATAAGTATTCTTTATCCAAAGGCAGTAGTATCTCTGGTGTGGCCTTGGGCTAGGGAAGTGGCCTGTCTAGAAAATCTCACTAAGTCCCTTTATCCAGGAAATCAGTAGTCCTTGGAATCTTGGGAATAGTGACTCCCATTCTAGTCTGTGACACTTCAAATATCTTTCTACTTAGAATTTCTTTCTGGTATGTTTCTTCTAAGGTGTGGTAAAAGTTGGTGTTTGGATAACTTTTAGGTTAGCTAATTTCTTATCCCTCTGCATGAGTGTTACTGGTTGGCCATTCCCCCTCTTCTTCACTATTTCTTTTCCATCAGAGAAAAGGAAGGAATTGTAACTGAATCAAGTTTGGCTCTATAGGAGGGTCTTTGGTCAATTTGTTGTTGTTGTTGTTGTTGTTGTTGAGATTAGATATTGAAGCTAGATTGTTTCACAGTTACATGTATTTTTAACTTATTTTTATTTCTAGTTACCCCCTGGCTACCACCAGAAGTTCAGAAAGTACTCTGTATCA